ACCAGCCTGCAGCTTTCTTACTCGCGGTCCTGGATTGTCCTGACCTACCTTCTGTTGCCTAGCCAGTTGCTGAGATGGTTTGTACTATCCCATCTTCTGCCGCCTTTCCTGTTGCTGATCCTCTGTCTGGATCTGATCATTCTCCAGTTACCCACTAGACTATGGTCTCCACATCATAGCCTACTAGTCCATGCTCAATCCCTGGTTGGGCGACCTGGTACCAGCACACAGGGAAAACCATCTTCACAAACAAGAGCTCTGGTGAAAATCAGCTGTTGCCTACACTGTGTGCCTTAAGTGAGCCCATGTCACTGCCAGGGGCTGTTGCTCTATCAAGGGTCATGTCATAAGACCTCTGCAAAATCCCTCAACAGCCTCTAATTTACCCTGGTCATAATCAGAGGTCATAAATCAGCATTAAGCCAGAGCCTGCTAATAGCTTTCTATCACATACATGGATGGAGACCAAGCTGAGAAAGGGGCTACCCGTGCGCCTGTTGTCCCACACTTCTGGAGTTGGTGACAGGGAATGTAAGGACATTGAGAGGCACAGGCGCCAGTGCTGATGGCAGGACGAGGTTCCTAGAGTTGCTTGAGAGCCTTGGACCAGTGGGCGAGTCAGCAGGACCATGATGACACCAGAACCTCGAAGTACTGAAGGAGATATCTGGAGAGTAACTGCTGAAGGAGATATCTGGAGAGTAACTGCTGAAGGAGATATCTGGAGAGTAACTGCTGAAGAACTGGTTGGGTGAGGTGGCTCAGAGTAGTGGTGGTATAAAGCACCAGGTGGAAGCCAGAAGCGGAGTCAGGTTCGAAGCTGTGGTCACACACGGACATATAGAATCTCGAAGTGCCGAATTATAGGTCACAGAATCACAGAAGCGAGGTCAAGGATCATTAACCAGGGTCATGCACAGGAAAGAAGAGAGTTGAGGTACCAAATCAAATCATAAGGAGGAGGCGAAGCCAACGGTCGCTAGTCGGGTTCACACACAGGAGATCAGATTCACAGGAACAGAATGCAGGGAACACAGGAACTAGCTGATGACCACTCAGCAACATGCTCATGGTTTCTGTCTATTAGTCTGCCCACTAATGAGCGTGCGCCAGTGCCCCCATACGTCATTTGCCAGTGCGCATTCCAGTGTGCGCACATCTATGTGCCAATATGTGTTTGCTAAGGATCTTTAGCATGGGATTTCGCGCAGATATACACGTACGTGTCAGGGACCAGAGCACCTCCGGGTGGCACTGTGGAGCTGGAACCTGATCCTGCAATTCCAATGTTCACCTGCAGGTGTCTCTCAGCAATTAGTCACCACTTGGCGCTGATCTGGGAGGGTATTTAACCTCTTCCTGCAGTGAGGCCTGTGCCACAGTATTGTTGCCATAGCCTGCAGCTGCTGCCTGGATCCTGTTGCCTCCTTGAGCCTTGATGCCTGTCTCTTTCCCTCTGAGGTCGCCTGATCTGCTGCTCCCCTCTTGTTCTGCTGCTCCCCAGGTTATAACTAGCCCTGTTGTCTTCTGTGTGTGATTTTGCATTTAGTTTGGCTATTATATGTTACTTGCGGGTGGTGGTGGGGTTGCCTGTGCTTATGTGATTTTTGGCATGTGTAATAAACAATAGCCCATAAGCATTATTTGGTGTGGTCATGTATTTGGCCCTCCTGTATAGATACCTGCATGTGGTGTGGGTACACCTGTGAGCGGTATCGTGATGGTACGTCTTTGGGCTGGAACCAGTTGGCTGGTGAGTCTCTTCCACTATTGTAAAATAGCCATTAAAACAGTCCAAGAATGGTTTAAAGCAGTGGTTCTCAATCTGTGTAACCCGAGGACCCACATTTGTCCTTGGTCATTAAGTCATGACCCAAATCGCAGTGCACTCGAACGCACGGCATTGTGGTACCAAACATTCCGGTGTGGGCGATTGAACTGTGGGTGGGAGGTGCTTTTAGGGTGCCATTCAAATGAATGGCAATGCAACACCTCCCACAGCAGAATTTGCGTTAGGTGCGATTTTACGTGGTACAGTGTGTTAATTGCACGGGACTGTGAGATTACCACACTGTACTAGTGTGAACGGGCCCTCAAAAACACTGACAATCTCACACACACACTCCCACACTTTTTTTTAGATGCACCCTTTCTCCCTATCTTAGGAGAACTGGAGTGGATCCTCAGCCTGGGGTCCAATGTGGGCTGCTCTGCTGTGATGGAGCCCCATCCATATGTGCATTGCTGGTACAGCTCCCTTGCGTGCCCTGTAGAGGTGCCGGGAGCCAGAATGTTACATCACTCTGGTCCAGGCATCTCTACAGGGCATGTGAGGGAGCTGTAAGCAATGCACGTATGGCTGGAGCTCCCTCGCGGCCATAACGCCCATTGCACCTCAAGCTGACACACAGCACCGGGCAGCATGTTTTAAATGGTAGGTTGGCGTGAAAACTGACAGTGCTGTGCTAGGGGGAGGCTGAAGAGCCTCTCGCCTAGAAAAGTAGAAAGCATGCAGTGACCCACTGAACACAGGGCCGTGACCCACTTTTGGGTCACGACCCACAAGTTGAGAAACAAGGGTTTAAAGCATTAGACATGCTGATCTGCTGTCAGAACCAAATTCTATTCATATTCTATAGATCCTGATATTGTAAACGCACAGTCACAACAAGTGTCTACCCAAATGTATAAGAAAATGACAATCAAGTAGGTACCGAACATGCCTATGCTGTACTGTCCAGAAGACAGATGAGACACATTACATCTCCAAAGCAGAATATAAATAAGATGAATATCACATTTGATTTTTGCCAAATCTTTATTTCACTCTATTTAACCACTTGCTGACCGGGGTGTTTATACCCCCTTCCTGGCCAGGCCATTTTTCAGTATTCAGCGCTGCGGTACTTTGACTGACATTTATTCCGTCATGCAGCGCTGTACTGAAATTAATTTTATACCATTTTTTTTGGGACAGATGGAGCTTTCTTTTGGTGGTATTTAAACACTACTACAGGTTTGTTTTTTTTACTGTATAATAAAAAAAGTACTGATCATTTTGAAAAAAAACCTGTTCTCCCTACGTTATGTTATAAAACCTTTATTACTCAATTTTTTGGTAAAATTTAAGACGGGGTCACGTTGGATAAATAGATGCCAAACATGTCAAGCTTTAAAATTGCGCGCACCTGTTAAATCGCAAAAAAACTGCCATACTCACAATTGACCATAGCTGACGCTTTAAAAGCTTTTACTGCTCATCAGTTTAGTGTTATTAGTGATTGATGGTCCTAGAATTATTGCTCTCATTCTGACGTTCGCGGCGATATGTAACATGTGCGGCGCAATGGATGTAATCAGCGTTTTTGCACGTAGGCGGGCTTGACGCATGTTTGCATGTGGGGGCGGGGGACTTTAATTTTTTTTATTGCTTTGATATGTGATTTTTTTATTTCAATTTGTAACAAATGTTTTAAAACCTTCTTTTTTTTTTTCCCCACTGAACTTTATTGTTATCACATAGGGAGCAAGCAAGCTCCCTATGTGATAGCCAATTTGCAGTGACAGGTCCTCTTTATGGAGACATCAGGGGTCTTAAGACCCCTAATGTCACCTAGGGACTCCCAGAGAAGCTGATGAAGCAGAGACCAGCTTCTCTCCGGTTTCTGTACCGGAGAGTGACACTGAATGCAGGCAGTGATGTAATACACATCACTGCCTGCATTCAGAAGAAGGGGGGGGGGGGTCGGCTAAGGGGCTTCTGCAAACTCTTCCCCCAGACCCAGGTCCGTACTGAGGAATGGACCTTCTGTTATGGGGCTGGAGGAAGTCTGCTGATGTCACTCCAAGTACCGTGACATCAGCGCACTGGTGCTCGATTGATATTAGAGATGCACCGATATAGATACTGATTGGTGCTGATACTGAGCACTCATACTCATCCAAATGTTTCGATACCAGAACTTCTGACCGGCCACGAGGTAGCATGGAGCCGGCTCCCGGGCTTTGCGATTGGCTAGGTAGCAGGCATTACGTTGCCTAGCGACACTGCAAGGCAGCCTGGCGTCATGACCCGCCGCCTGATCAGTCAGGAAGCCAGGCTGCCTCACAGTGTCGCGAGGGAGCGTGAAGCCAGTGTGCTTTCGATAGAACACCGGCTTCCCAGGCAAACAGGAAGCCAGGCGGTGGGTCATGACCCACCGCCCGGCTTCCTGACTAGCCGGGAAGCCAGGCCCACGCTACCTCGGGATGCTGGAATTGCCACTCGGTATCGGATAAAAAAAATATTGGTACTCGATACCAAAAAACTGGTATCTGTGCATCCCAAAATGCAAATCAAATGCGTCTGTTTGTTTATTAATGCAGCAAATCACATTCAATGCAATGTTTCGGGGTCATGCTGGATCCCCTTCCTCAGGCAGGACATATTCTCTCCATACACAGATGCCTTCCAATGGGGACACCTGTTTCGGTTGCAACTCTGTAAGAGGGAATTCCTTGACTTTGTAAAGATTTCCACTCACCTTCTGTTGTGTCTCTGGGACAGGAAATCTCCCTAATAGCATGCCAAAAAAGTCCAAAATTAAAAAGAGGCTTTCAATAGGCAAAACACACCAACCAACCCGCACTAACCGTCACTTCTGAAAAGTTCAATGGTGACAGGTTCTCTTTATTCCCTCCCCAACACTACAGTCACTGACCGTAACGTTGTGATTGGTTACTATGGGCAACACAGGCACCTCCCTTCGGAATTCTTTGCCTTCCCGCAGTGGGCGTGCGCAGGCCTTAGTACGCGCTCCCACCGCACCTCGGCGCGTTCCGGACGGTACCTCAGACACTGCAAGTGCGCGCGCTCCCTCCTGGCAGCATTAGGAGGCGTGGTTTACCGCGCAGCGGGAGGGTTCGTCGATGCGGAGAGGCGTGGCTTTCGGAGCAGAGCGCCCTCCCGCCGGCCAATGGACGTTGCGGATTGATGGTGACGTCAGGCAGAGCGGCCGGAGTATTTATAGATCGTATTTAAAGAGCCCCTGGGAGTCTCCGGAGCGGCCTGAGTGCGGCCTGCAGGGGAGAGATATGCAACTGTGACCAGCCGGACCGCAGAGCTACACGGTAAGTTCCGGCCTGGGGAGGCTTATAAGGGCCTATGGAGAGTGTGGGGTTACTGGAGGCCCCAATACTCCAGTGTGAGGAGCCGTTCCGGGAACAGGAGGCGCCCCTGTGTGACTGCAGGATGTACCAGGAGGCAGCTGTGTGTCCCCTGCATAATATGGAGTCCGATCAAGGGGAAGGTGGGGGTCTTACTGGTATTTGAACGCTATTATGGGGGGGTCGTGTGGGGCCATATCTGGGGTGACAGTCTGGGTAAGGAGTGGTGAGGGTGTAGATGCTGAGTTCAGAGGGTTCCTTACAGTCTGTACTTGTTGTGAATCACTGGCGCCCCTACTATCCACAAGTTACCTGGATTTCTCTTTCGATCGTCCAGCTCTGCCTGATGGAGGGGGTGGGCTGTTCCCGGAGGATCCCTGGCAGGCTTCTGGGGCTGCGCTGGAAGGGGCCTTCTAGGAGTGTGACCCCCTGGGGGCCCAGTGATTCATGGCATACATGGCAGTACCTGTGGTTTATGTAGAAAAGGAGGGGGGGGGGGTCGTAATGCTTTTTTTTTGGAGGATTTCCCCATCAGCCTGCTCATCTTGCCCTATAAAGGGCCTCCTATAAGTGAAGTGTTGGAAGGGAGACTGGTACTGCTATTCTGGAAAACCCCAACAGCCAGCTGCTCTTTACTTTATGGAGGTCCTCTGAAGCCACAGTGTGGACCTGATGGTGGGTAAAGTTGATGGTGGAGGGAGCAGATGATGGGGCCACTGCGGCTAGCTGTTGATGGTGGAGGGGGCAGATGATGGGTCCGCTGCGGCTAGCTGTTGATGGTGCAGGGGGCAGATGATGGGGGGGGGGGTTTTAATCACCCAGCAGATTGAGGGGGTAGAGATGCTACTTGCCTGGGAGTATGGGGTGGTATCCTTCTCGCCTGGTAAAAAGTACCTAATCTGTGATTAATCCAAGTTAGTGCATGTTGATGGGCCTGATGGAAGCTCACCTAACATGCATGTAAAAACACGTCAAGTGCTGCAACACATATTAAAGCACACTTGGGATTGAGTGGTGTATACCCAGTGTGCTGTGTAATATGATGGGGCCCTCTGGTGAGCTCACATCTGCTCAGACAATCGTGTGCCCGCTCTACATTGGACGGGTTTCTGGATGTGCCATGTGAGGAAGCGGGTTAGCCATTGTTATATGGCAAGGACTGGCACCCAGGGTTTTCAAGACCTGGGTTAAATGGAAGTTGATCAGACAAGTTTGAACACGTACAATCAAAATTTTGACACCGCCCCCTCATGAGTGTCTTGTACCTCCTTTCAGCTAAACTTGTGCATGATGGACCACCATGACAAAACTGTGTCCACCATTACGCTCCCTGTGTAGGTGGGGCTTGGGTGGACTTAGGCCTGGTTCACACCTAGGCGTATTGCATATGCGCGTCTGTCGCGCGTTTTTTTACCGCGGTTTGTGGTAAAAAAATTGCGTGACAAACGCGCGTTTCCGAGGGCTACTTGGCTGTATCCCAATGGAAACGCGCAACAAAAACGGCCCAAAGTAGTACCTGTACCTTTTCAGGTGTGGGCCGTTTTGTATTGCGTTAGGGACGGGCTGAAATACGGCAAGGTGTGAACCAGACCCATTGAATACAATGGGATTTAGATGTTTGAGCGTTCGTCGAGCGAAGAACGCGCTACAAAACGTTCAGGTGTGAACCAGGCCTTAAAGTGACCAAGCCACAGAAACCTATCTTCTATCAACATCCTTGGGGTGCCGGTTCCTGTTCCCTTCCAGCTGATTCACTTGCATACAGAACTCAAGCCATGTGCACTGTGATAAATGTTATTTATACCTTTTTAAGTAGATAACAATTTTATTTCAATTTTCTTTTTTTTTTAAATCTTTTCCTTGGCGGGGGTGTGTGTGTGTGGGGCTAGCTTTTGGAGATCATTTAATCTACCAGATTGGAGTGCTACACTAACGTTGAGGAAATGATACGTTTATTCCCATGCCGCGCGGTTTTATCATTCATCTAGTTCGTCCCAGCGTGTGTGACGTTCCCGAGGGTCAGAGTTCAGCGATGATAAGCTTCGCTCAAAGTTTTGGAATTGGAAATTGTCTATAATGACCCAAAGTAACTGGTTATCTTCAGACCTGGATTGGAAATAGTGGACAGTTTCAGAGTCTGATTTTTCACTTGTTTTTTTAGCAATACTGGTACCAGTGCTGCAGTATTTCACTGCGGTCACTAGTCAGAAAGGGGGTATTTACCTAATAGCATTCAGGAACCAGTCAGTCTGTTGTAAGATCTAGAAGAAGTTTCTTAGTTGCCAGGGGAGGCTTCAATACAAAGTTTGCTACAAACTTCCAGCTTTGGTGTTTGACATGTTGGCTGCCCGATTTCTGAAGCTTGTCTTCTCCTGCATTAGGTTATCAGACATGAAACCTGAATAATTGGCAAAAAAAAGGGGGAAGTTTGAGGTCTGAAGATTAGAAATTTGTTCTGTTCAAGGCGTTCAAAGAGAACTTTAAGCAATATAACGGTGGCATTTTGTCGTTTTAATATTGGCAGTTCTCGTTTGGGTCTGCAGCCATGACTTTGTAAAGTGAGAAATTCTAATGACTCCCTTGCAGCCAGGGTAGGTTTGGTCTTTATACAGCGCCCCCCCAGCCCTGTCCTTGCGTTTTACTGTGCTACTTGCCTGGTATGCTATGTACCTAGAGGTATGCTGACTCTACAGTGTTTTCTTACTAAAGCAGGCCATACACCTATAGATTATCTGCAGACTTTCTATGGTCAGATGGAAAAAGTGCAACAGATTCCTCCATCTACTCTACACTGTGTGGATGGAGGAATCTCCCACCAGGCCAATTTTCCGTATCTTGCTAGCCAGCCCCGCTGGCTCTCAAAATACCTGAACAATCTGATTGGCTGCCGGCATTGTTCAGGTGTTTTGAGAGCCAGCGGGGCTGGCTAGCAAGATACGGAAAATTGGCCTGGTGGGAGATTCCTCCATCCACACAGTGTAGAGTAGATGGAGGAATGTGTTGCACTTTTTCCATCTGACCATAGAAAATCTAGATAATCTATAGGTGTATGGCCAGCTTCAGGCTGAGCCTTCCACTTGCCTTTTGATTTGAAAAGATTTCAGCAAGTTTGCTACATCTCCATATTTCTCAATGAAACTAGGTTTTGCCCATAATGAGCCGCCTCTTGTAGTTGTAGACAGTTCTGAGGATTAGCTGTTGCCGAAAGGCTCACTTTAGCACAAGTTGTTTCCAGTATCTGTGATGTATGCTTCCCGCATACGTAGGCCATGCGTAGGTCTCACTCTTTCCATTCTGTAGAAAGTATGATGTGAGCCCGTGGAACAGGTTACCACACCCCGTGCACCTGTCTGGCATTGCTCTGTATTCAGCTGGAGGTGCAGGTGTCTCGTCCAGTAGCGACCCAGGCTCTGTTACCCTTCTCTTCCGTCTGCTGCAACTTACTGGCAATCCAACCTAATATTTATGGACCACTAATAGGCTTGTATTTTGCATAGCAATGCTACGTAGGTCAGTATTGAGGGAGCAGCATTTAAAGAAATCAAATTCAGACTTCTGCACCCTCCCAGCAGAAGGAGGGCTAGAAACCACAGGAAGCAATATTAGTCATGTGCCCTAAATGCTACATGATTTGTTGACATTTTGGCTTACAGGAGTGTGGGGTGAAATAAATTGTTTTCCCCCCCCGCCTTCCATGATAAATGGCCCACCTAAATCGGGCAACGCAAGGCTCACAAATGATAGGAACATGCAGTCATATGTACCACCTTGGTATTTGGGCTAGCAGGATCAATGCCACAGAACTGTTGGTTGAGGTTTTCACACCAGTGGCAAGCTCCACCATGTTATCCAGACTAGTATGTGTGCAGGGTTGGTGAGCCTGGCTGGTTTGGATAGGTGCTATAGAGCAGGGGTGCCCATAAGGCCTGGTTCACACTTGGGCGTTTTACAGCGCGTTCCTACGCTCTGTAAAACGCTCAACATGTGAAAACCAATGATTGCCTATGGGCATAGTTCCCACCTGGGTGTTTTACAGCGTGTAGGAATGCGCTGCATAACGCCCAACGAAGTACAGTAGCTTCTTTGGGGCGTATTTGCCGCGCGTATCCATTGGGATACAGCCAGGTAGCCCTCGGAAACATGCATTTGTCGCGTGTTTTTTTTTTACCACAAATTGCTGTAAAAACGCGCGGCAAACGTGCATATTCCGTACGCCCAGGTGTAAACCCAGCCTTAGGTAGATTGTGATCTACCAATAGCTCTCAAAGCTGTGCACACATGAATACCTATTAGTCTGAGTCTGCTGAGCCAAGCTCCCTGACACCTTTCTGGTGGGTACTGGTGGTTGAAGTGCTATGTATTACTTCAAAGAATATTAGTTTACACAGCCTGCTGCAAAATACAGCCAGGAGAGCGAGCGAGGGTTTTCTTTTTTTTTTTGCTGGTAGATCTTAACACAAAAAATTGTGTGCACCCCAGCTATAGAGGGTTACTTTGTTTCTCACAGAGTCTGGAAGACATCTAGGCAATGTCAGACCCTCACCAGAATCTCCTGCTTCTCCAGTATCGGGAGGGACAACCATCCTCTGGCTTATGTGAACCTAGAGACACCCCTCTACCTAGAAGTCTGCAGGCAGGTCAGGGCAGGACCGGCCAAATCCCAGGAGCAAGGTAGCCAATGCTCCTTAGAAATGACAGCTGGCTTCTGTAACTTGAGGTTTTGTCAATGGAGCTGGGGCTCCAAAAAAAGCCATCCTGCTGGCTCCTGAATTCCATATTTTTGTCAACCTCCCCTCTCAGTTCAGGGGGGCAGGATTCTGGAGATGACGCGCCAAGGGTATTGTGTGCTTCCTGCCGGCATCTTTAAGCTTGTTGAAATGTATGCAGGACACACAGCCTAATCCAGACTAATGACCTGTACTCATGGACCAGGTACCAGTATGCGGCCTGCTGGACCATGTGATGCTCTAATCCAGGCCTCTCCACACTGTTCCTGTGCACATTTGTTGCCCACCAAGCCCCTCCACCCCCCTAGCTCTTTCACACTGTCGTGCACTTTCATTGCATGGACAGAGGAATACACCTACTTATGGGTAGCTGCTGAAGTTCCGAGGCTGCAGAACTCCATTCGATAATAAAGGAGGAGCTCGGAATTGGATGGTACAGCAGATGAGTAACTGTAAACTGCTTCCTGAAAATGTGCTGTTTTGTTAATGTTTGTTTTCTGTTCAGCGGCCCGAAGATTTCCATTCACCACCTCCGCACCCTGCCGTACCGTAAGGCACGTGTTCTGTGGAAATTGTAGCTGTTTATACTGTGATCTCTTATCGTGTTGAGTAATCGCGGCAGACCAGCCTACACTGGTCTCTGTATACATTGTGGTCGTGTGACACCATGTAAATGACTCTCTGCATTCCTCTGAGCTGCACGCAGTACACTACAATGTTTCTTGTGTATTGTTTGTTGGGAGATCCTGGAGGAGGAAAGTTATGCAGACTTGATACTTTTGTTATGCAGAGTTTGGATTGACTGTCGCTCTGTTCAGCGGTGTCCTGTGGTTAAAAAAACTTTTACTTGTTTTTAATATGCTAAAGTAACATGAAGTGTAACTATTTTACATTAAAGGGACACCAAACTCAGGATCTTAAACCATAGAAGTACCTTTTTAGAGGAGAATTCTGAGGCGAGTGATTTTCACTCAGCCTCATAATCTGAGCCGGCCTGTGACAATGAAACTGTCAAAGATCGGCTCAGTAGGTCGGGAAGTGAGCGAACGCATACAGTCGCTTGCTCACTTCATCTATCCCTGCAGATCCATGACTGTCACTCATGGCTCCCTGCAGGGATTCCCCCCTGCCCCGTGTGCGATCCTCCAGTGCTGACTGGCGAAACGGGCGGGAAAGGAGGTGGGCACAGCTGGCTCTGACCCCGGATGGGCAGAGCCATCTGTCAATCCCACGGCTGGGTGGATACAGACAGTATTGTCGGGATCTGTCCCGGCTGCGGCGTCTCAGTATACCGTGAGCTACAGCTATATACTGAGCTTTGGGTCACGGGAGAACGCTAGTTTGTTCTCTCGTGACCCTTAGGAGAACTATGGGGGAAAAGTCCTGACCCCATAGTTCTCTTAACTATGAACAAAAATGTCTCTTATTTGTGTATCACTCGGCTGTTGAGCCTCAAATCATCTCTGAATTGGTGCTGACACTGTCCTTCCTTCTGGAGGGTGGCTACTTTTTGTTCCCCATGGTCCCTGTGTGTTGTGAAGTAGTCACCGCTCCAAGCTCACTCCCGGGATGGACTACAATCTTACTACAAATTTAGTAAACTAAACATGAAATTGTAGTCCATCAAAGGAGTGAGCTTGGAGCGGTGACTACTTTACAACACACAGGGACCATGGGGAACAGAAAGTAGCCCCCCTCCAGAAGGAAGGACAGTGTCAGCACCAATTCAGAGATTATTTGAGGATCTACAGCCGAATGATACACAAATAAGAGACATTTTTGTTCATAGTTAAGGCACTTGAATACATTTTTAAGATTCGAACTCCTTTTTTTTGTTTTTTGTTTTTTTTTGTTCCACGATTTCGGTCGTGAAACGAATTAAACTGTGATCAGACCGCGATCTTGACAAGAGGAAGCCACGACCGGTGTCAGAGCAGGGAAGATGGCTGCGCTTGTGTGCTGTCACCCGATGCGAACAGAAGCAAAACTTTGCCAAACTTCCTGTTCGCGAACCAAATTGTTTTTGAACTGAGGTACCACTGTATTAAACATTTGAGGGGTTTTATCTACTAGCAAGCAGTAGATCTATGCAGAAAGGTACAAACTTGCCTGTGTCACCGCCACGCACTCCTGTCCAAAGTTCTGAAGATTTTCAGGCGGCCGCGAAGGATCATGGAGTGGGCGCATGCGCAGTAGAGATCTTCAGCCGGGAGAACAGGAGACACGGTTTAAGTCAATGTGTGCCCCTGCACAGACTCTATGGGACAGGAAGACACAGCAGTCAGCGCTGGATCAGACACCAGCACCAGCAGTGGAGGGACTCCTGAAAACTACCGGAAAGAAGATGATCGGATCAAGAGACCTCATTTTAAGGCAAGTCCTTACACCAGCATAAGGGGGATTTGTTTCTGTACGCGTGCACGCTCATGGCTGTGGGCATTGACTTTTACTGTAACCCTCCTCTCCCTGCCGGTGATATCTACTGCGAATGCACCCGCACACCTCCTCCTGCACGGCCATTCAGGAAGCTGGATTTTACAGGTTAGTATTTTTTTTTAACACCATTTTGTTCATACATCTACTGCGTGCTATATCTAAAACCAAGACTTTAATACCACTTTAAGCACCAGTTCATTTTCACCTATTGTATGCGTGTTGGAGACCTAGTCCAAATGACGCACATATACACGTGCATGCCACAATGCATATAAATAAGCGTGGCCTAGTTTTAAGATTTTGATCTGTCGAGTGAAACCTTCTGTAAATACTTTTTCTTCCACAAGTCACATCTTTGTATTCGGAGGCTTACAATTTTCGAGCTCCACATTTTTAAAGGCTGGTTGCACAGGGAACAAATATGGATCCTATAATTATGTGTTGCTATATCTAGCACTGAGACCGGTCGTACGGAGTAAAATAAGCTTGGGCCTCTTATGTCAGTTTGCCAAGCTCCCCTCCCATAGGCTTGTGACAGGGCAAGCACACAATTGCTTAACAGACCTATACCAAAAAGGATTCATGAGTTCACAGCTATATGTATACTCAGCCTGCACTGTGCTAAAGAAGCTTAAAGTCCCTGTGAGCTTCAATGTTGTAAATCTGCATCTGCCGGCATTCGGCTACATGAACTGAGGTTACGAGGTGTTTGCCGGGTAGAACGTCCTGCAGAGTAGACATCGGAGGGACTATTCGGGCTTAGCCACTGATTAGGCTGCTCTCTGTGGTCATTTGAGGTCGGTTCTCGTAGATCCTCCTGAAAAGGTCATGTGATTGGATGACAGCCAATTACTTTTTGTTATAGCTATTGCATCAACTGTTATTTATATTATACATGTTTGTTGATGGAGGTTTGTTTGGGTTCATAATTAAAGCCTTAGTAATGATCGGAGTTTTCTGAGCCAATGTCCCAAATCCCAGGAGTTGTTTTGCTCTGTAGACACCTGTAAACGCACTTGGATGTTGTAGGCAGACAGAAGGAGCTGCTGTAAATCATCAGCTATGGGCAGGCTGGGAGGCAGGGCTGTCGGTGATCACAGGCAGATAATGGTAATGGTCCTGTAGTCTACATCAGGAAGCATGCACATTGACCCGACAATGCTACTACAGGAATAGTACCCTGTGTTTTCATGTCCAAACAGGAAGGTGTGGGGGGGATTGGCAGGGGGTCGTAACCCCCCCCCCCCCCCACAGCAGGGGGACTGTCCCTGAACTGCAAGGGTTAAGCGATTGTTTCTGCCTAGGTGCTAAAAAGCTACTCTCCCAATCCATGCAGCTGGCTTGCTCTTAGACTGGTCCTTGGAGCCTCTCTCCCCCTCTGCTGCCGCAATCTGAGGTCCCTGAGTCATCACACCCTATACAGTGTTTAGGATGTGAGGATGCCGGGGGACATACCATTGCTGCAGTGAAGGGGGAGAGACTCCAGAGGGAACAAAATGCTAAATTGAACAGGCTGCATGGGATGTCTGTACTATCTCAGGCAACTGTTGTATCATTGGCAAAAAAACAACTATGACGATGGGATAATGGTGGTTGACATGTATAGTAAGAGCTGTATGATGCTAATCGGTAAATGCTCATTTCTTGTCTTTTGCGTTTTCAGTTTGTGTGGAGCTGCTCTTAAATCAGTTGTG